GTTCAGCATCTTAGCTGTAGAGGGCAGTGTCACTGGCCCTCATATGTGGGATCCAAACCGGGGCCCTCTGGCGTCCCAAGCCAGTTCTTAACCAACGCGCCACTTGGCCGGCCCTTGTTTATTTATTTTATAGATTGTCTTAATCTCTCCTCTCCACCCGACTAGGAAATAAGCTCCCCGAGGACAAGGACTCTCACCTGCGTTGCTCACGGCTGTATCCCCAGCCCCTACGGCACAACTGTGCCTGATGCAGAGGACCCAGTCAATAAACATTCTAATTGAATGAAATTATTTCTCTTTAATTTAAAATTTATATAGCATTTCCTGCATGCCAGGCACCAATAGGCACTTCATAAATATTTACTCAATCCTCGCGTCAACTCTGTGAGAGTACTATTATTGTCCTCATTTTATGGAGGAGGAAGCTGAAACACAAAGACATGAAGTAGAAGTAACTTGCCCAAAGTTCCTTTACACACTGGTAACATGAGAGCCAGGATTCGAACCTGTGTCTGTGCTCTTAACCACCACACTGTGACTCAAGGAGACCACTAGGCAGGGTGGCTCTCAGCACTCCATCCTCCTTTGGGGACTTGCTACCATCTACTGATGCCCTGCTTGGAATCAGACTGCATGCACGACTGATCCTTCTCCCCTCCCCTATCACTGGGTGTCTCTCCCACACCTGCTGGGTTGGGGCTGACAGCTGGGGAGGTTGTGGGTCCTCTTCCCTCTCCTCATTTGTAGTGTCCCCAGGGGGCAAAGGTGTCCGTGCATGTCTCACGTGAGGGACCTCTGTTCACCCCACAAGTGCCTGTGAGGCTGTGCTTATACCAAGCCCCAAAGGCCAGAGACGAAGCCCCACAGCACCCCCTCCTCATGTGTGTTTGGGGCCTGACCTTGGTCACTCCCTAGAGCTCCATTTGAGAACTCCTCCTCTTCAAACTCTACTCATATTTGTGTGGCTTGAACTGACATCCATATGCTAGCTCCCGAATCCATTTATCCAGCCCAGAATTTTCTCCTGAGCTCCAAACCCTGGAACCCACTTACCTCCTGGACATCTCCTTCTAGGGGTCCCACAGGCATCTTAAACTCAACGTATCCTAAACAGGATGCATTGTCCGTCCCCCCCCCCCAACCACCCCAAGAATCTCCTAAACCAGTTTCTGACCTTCCTGTCATCCATCCCATCACCCTGGCTTTCATTCTAAAAGTGATGGAGCACACAGCTTGTCAGGATAAATTCCATAAAAATACTAGCAGAAAATATGGACAAAATCCTTTATAACTCTTGGAGTGAGAAAGGCCTTTCCAACTGCAGCTAAAAATTCAGAAGCTATAAAATAGAAGGTTCATATATTTGTCTCTATGAAAAATTTCTGCATGGCAAAAACATCAAAGTAAAATCAAAAGACAAACAACAGGGCCGGCTGAGTGGCACATTGGTTAAGAGCTGGCTTGGGATGCCAGAGGGCCCTGGTTCGGATCCCACATATGAGGGCCAGTGACACTGCCCTCTACAGCTAAGATGCTGAACA